CTCTCTCTCTCTCTCTCTCTCTCTCTCTCTCTCTCTCTCTCTCTCTCTCTCTCTCTCTCTCTCTCTCTCTCTCTCCTTGGAGCACTCGAAGCCCTTGGAAGCGGCCTCAGTGTTGAAAGTGTTCTGTCTCCAGCTGGAAACCACAGTATATAACTATGGCCACAGGAAGGGAAGGAGGTGGCACAGCAACAATGGAGAAGAGGGTTGACAGCACCAGGAAGAAATGGGGAGTGAAAGAGGCGGCACAATGATGGGATCGGGATCTGAATGAACACGAAGAAAGATGAAAAGGTGATGGGGAGGGAGAGGAGTGCATGGAGGAGTCTGGATCCGAGTGTAATGGGGAGGGAGAGGAGGATGTGTGGGAGTCAGTGCAGACGAAATCACGATGGGAACGACCGTTGTGGGGAACTCTAGATCTGGGGAAAGGAGGATAGGCTCAGCCTTGTGTTAAAATGAGGGGAGGCATACAGGTATCAAGTGCAAGGAAAGTGTGAACAAAGAGAGGGGCACATGAGGAGTGGGGGAAGGTAGGGAAGGCAAAGGCGGCAGAAGGTGTAGTACCCTGAGAGGGGTTGGTCGGAAGAAAAAGATGATAGCAAGCTGAAGGGAGAGGAGGAGGCGAGCATGTCAAGGTGTCACGGCAACAAATTGGGAGAGAATAGCACCTTGTCAAGGGAGGAGGGGAAGAGGGAAGGAGCATCATCTCACTGTCACGGTCGTAAGGGGAGGGGATGGAGGAGCTTGGCACAATGTCGCAGAAGGGAAGACGAGGCAGTGGAGCATAGTTCAGTGTTGGAAATAAAAGGGGAGAAGGCAGGCAAACATACTGCAATGTCAGGGGAGGAGGGGAAGAAGGGAAGGCGCATGGCACACTGGCAGGGATGGGGAAAACGGCATGGAGGAGCATGGAGCAATGCCAGGGAAGCAGGGAAGAGGGGATAAAACTTGGTGCAATGTTGGGGTCGAGGGGAAGGAGCATGCACAATTTATGGGAGTAGAGGGAGATGGGGAGGGGGTGACCATCACAAAATGTCAAGGGTGAGGGAAAGAGGATGACGTGAAAGAGGCAGAGGCTGCAGAAGGTCAGATTGTCATGGGGGGTGGGGGGTGGAGCTGAGGATGACCAGGTGGGGAAGTTCAGTTTACAATGGCAAGGATGGAGGGGAAGAAGAGTTAGGGAATCCATAGGAATGGGATCGTTATGATGGGAGTGGGAAGAACTGGAGGTGGCAGAAATGAGATTGGCATGGCAGAGGGGCGGGGGAAGAATAGGAGGGCATGGGGCCTTGAAGGGATCCTAACTGCAGAGGATAAAGGAAGAGCAGGAAAGTTGGGCAGCATGGGTGGGGGAATGGGAGGAGGAGGGGACGGCAAGTTCGGGGTTGAGGGGGGGCCACGGCCTCCATTGACAGAATTGGAAGATAATGCTGTGGGTAGGGGAGGGGCTAGGTAGGAGTTGGGGGAAGGGAGGTGGATAACGAGGAGGAGGAGACAATGGCGAACTCGCGAGCACAAGATCAGAAATCAGAGGATCAATGCAGGGATAGAGAGAGGCTCTAGGGATAGACGCCACATGTCCAGCAGGGATTGTAAGGGGATTTTTTTTTTTTTTTTTTTTTTTTTTTTTTTTTTTTTTTTTTTTTTGTGTGTGTGTGTTTGTGTGTGTGTGTTTGTGTGTGTGTGTGGGGGGGTGTGAGAGAGAGAGAGAGAGAGAGAGAGAGAGAGAGAGAGAGAGAGAGAGAGAGAGAGAGAGAGAGAGAGGATAATTTAAGAAAGGTGAAGCAAGCACGTGTTTCCCTACCGTTTCGTTTGTCTGTGAGTGAAACCACAACAGGTCTCTCGTAAGAGAGAAATGAAGCCGGTTGCCAGCAGGAGGAGGACATGGACTATTTACAGGATTACAACAAAGAGCATAAATGCAGGAAGGAGAATGGGAGAATGAGGACCATGATAGGGGCAACAGGGAGGCGGATAATAAGAAGAAGGACAGTTCTACAAGGAAGACGGACAGAGTGCTGGCATTGTGAATGGATAACAAGCATGAGCCAGAGGAGTAAGAGTGAAGTGGGGGCTCAGGGCTGTGCAAAGGATAGGATAGGGAGCTGAGCAGGAAGATGACCACAAGCATGACATCGACAAAGATGGCAGAGGCGAGATCATGCTGAAAATTTTTCGCAGGAAGAAAAGAAGGGGGTCGAGGTGGAGGGCCACTCATCTGCGAAAGCTGAAAGAAGTTAGCATCACAGGAATGAAGAGGGTGTGTGGGAAAATGGAGTGTTAGCATTAGGTGGAGAAGAATAAGGAGAAGCGTCAAGGGGAGGAAGAGGGTGTGCAGGAAAAGGGAGTATTAGCATTAGGTGGAGAAGAATAAGGAGAACTTGCATTTGCCTAAGGGACCTTTTTTCACATCCACTGTGAGATCTGCTTTGGGAGATGTTGGGTTCCTTTATGTGCTGCGCCGGATACAGTAGTCTTGCTCCTCATACAAAGCCTGGCTAGGATGCTGCGCCTAATGCGTGACACTTAGGTGGATCACAATTAACTGGAATCAGCTGTGGAGTATGCTATCTGGTTGCACAAGCAGGGATTCCGTTTTCGTTTTCTTTCCCCTTATAATGTCTTCTCACGGGCATTGAGGTTGCTCTGCTGCTGTAGTAGGTGTCACAGCAAAGATGATGTGAATGGTCATGCATGCAGAGGTGAAACTCAAAACCAGTCAATGCAACAACATGCCACCTAGACACCTTGTAGGAGGTGTCCCAGCAAAGATGATGTGAATGGTCATGCATGCAGAGGTCAAATGCAAAACCGGCCAATGCAACAACATGCCACCTAGCACCTTGATTACTAAATGGGTACCCATGGAGATTTGGCTGCCAATGCGGCCTCGTCACTTCTCGTCTTGCCTTGGCAAGTACCTGCTATGCACCGACCCTGCATTCAGCGTTGCTTTAAAAGTTTTTTATTGTTCTGTGACAACGAAGTACAGATGTACAGCACATCTTAGAAAATCCTTTTGAAGTGGCTGGTTGCCTACGTAGTTTTGAAAATAAGGTTTGCTCCTTGCTATCCAGGCTTTCTCCATTCATAACACGCCTTCGGGAACTTCAGGGAACCTGCGCTTTCTTAAATCCAGCCATGTAGGGCACTTCCGCTTTGCAATATGACCTAGATGCCTGCTCAGTAATTCCTTCTTTGGACCACTTCTCAGCTGCAGTGTGTCCATAATGACCTGGTAGGCTGGCTGTGGCTTTGGTTGAGTAGGTTGAAAAATGTCATGTTGTACTTCGCTCCATTATGACCACGGTTTGCCACAGCGTGCTGCGCAAATAGTTAGCGGCTCAGAGCTTCAGATTGACACATTCTGTTACCATTTTGATAGTGTTCGAAATCACTGGCAAATGAAACAGGAAAGGATATGGGTTTGTCTTTGACCTTACATGTGGATTAAGAATTGTGCCGACCTTAGCACAGCAGGCAATAATAACATCAGAGGGAATCTTTGAAAGAAGAAATTATAATATTTTTGTTCGTTTTTACCATTGTCTTGTTGGGTTTGATTGCAGAGTTTGCGAACGTGCATCGTCCTTATGCTTGGACTTCATCTCTGGGAAGTGCCGCAATAGAGCAGCAGAATGTGCACGGTATCACTGGTCCCTTGAAGAGGTTAGTGTGGAACTGACGTTGCCCCTACTTGTACAATGCTTGCCATGACCCATAGTGGTATGCCTGTGGCAGTTTAAGAGGTCTTACAATGACGTTAAAGAGATGTTTCCTGATGATTGAATCCCAGTGAACTAGGAGGAATTCACTTCAGAAGATCAAAGAAGGCGTTATCATGTGAGGTGAGGGCTGCACCAGTGCGGATTGCCATATGCGATTAGCTGCAACTTGGTGTGGGTAATCGCCATCAGGTTACTTTATGATTGCCTATAGTGCTCGTCTGTATTGCCTTCCCAGGGATGGTTCTAGGGTCTGAAAGTCCCACAAAGGGTGCTTCTCCAAAAACAAAGTGGGATGGATGGACTAAGTGATGAATTGGAGGTTACTGTACGGTAGTGTTGTCACCCCGGCAGTCAGCACCCCCAAATTGGTCGGGGGCCGACCAGCTGGCTGGTCGGCTTGTCGGCACCTACTGGTCACCACCCTGCAAAAGAAAAAAAAAGAAAAAAAAGGAGTGGAAGCAAGTCCCCCCACCTTAGCCCCAG